TTATGTAGGTTGATCTGAATTAAAATATGTGGGTTTGGCCCATCTTCGGGGTGGGTTTGTGTTCAAGGACTGCTACCACCAAGGAGGGAAGGGGTTAAATTTCTCCCTGCCACGGAAACACAACAGCTAATGAGAGTTTCTATAAGGGGCTGGGAACAAGCACTCAGGTGGACTTAATCATGTTGAGGGCACCTGATGCTGTGTGGAAGCAGTGGGGCAGCTCCGGGAGATGGTGAGATGCACCCGGATCCAGTTTATAATGCGTGTGTCGTGTTTCAGCTGGCCTGGGGAGATGGCCCTGGAAACACAGAAATGCTGGAATCTGCCGGGTGATCCCGGCCATCCCTGGGGATGCTGAGGCTGAGTGGGAAAAAGCAGGGAGGGGGGGCAGCAGCTAAGGCAAGGTGCACCCACACAGGAGACGTCGAGGCAGGTTGGAGGTGGCCCCAAAATCATGGTCGTGAGCTGCTCTCGACCAGGCTGGGCAGTCTCCAGGGCACGCAGGTGACAAGCTGCAGTGGCTCAGCTCATCTCCCTGTCACCGTGTGTGAGCTTGCTTGGTTTCAGCTTGCAATTTTTTTTTTTTTTATTGGTAGCAATCGGAGGAGTTTCCCATAACACCACCTGGCACAAGGGCAGCAGCCAGAAAGATCCCAGTGTGGAAAGCTTTATGGAATGAGCTGTTCCCCATTGAGCGAAAAAGGGGCTATTTTATCTGCTTAGAAAATCTGTGGTCTCTAAGCACCTCTTAACCACATTAATGCATTAAAATATAGCTCCCATTAGCCACCCAAATAAGTTTCATCAGAATCATAAGTATTTCTATTACTGTGGCTTTGGGTTAGTGATACAGCACCAATCAAACTTCAATAAAGACATAATTATTCTAGCCTATAATCCAAGGCTTTTCCTGAATATCTTATTTTATTTTCCTTTTGAACCAGCAGGCACAGTCACACTGCTTTTTACTGACTTGTATTGAGATCCTACTTCTGTGTTTGCAGTGTATTTCATTTACACGTGCTTCTCAGGCTGCAGTTTTACTTGTTTGTGTTCTTCCAGATCTCTGGCTCCTACTGTGCCGACAACCCTTCTGCAACTGGGAACGTTGCAAGCACTTAAGCCAGGGCTCCCCTTTTTGTCCCGTATTTCAAATACCCACAGGCTTCTCCAGAGTCACCAGCTCCTTGGGACTCTCCAGCTACCCCGCTGAAGTCATGCTCCTGCAAGAAGAACCTCATCCAGCCTCCAAGATCTCACCCTGCACACTGGGAGCTGCAAGCATAGGACAGGAGACCCTCCTAGTTACAACACGACTGGATCATCTGCTCTCCTGAAGGCTGGTTTCATCCCAAGCAAAGCTGAAGCCCTTCTGGAAGCAGAGAGATGCTAATAGTGTCTGGCAGTTGGAGACAATCCTTTGAGACCGAGCCACGAGCCCTCTGACACCTTGAGATCGGAGCTCTGCCACACTCAGCAGACAAACCCCAAAGACTTTGTGCTGGCTGAGCCGTGACAGCCGCGTCACCGACACCATGTGCTGGAAAGGGCGGGTGAGGACCAGTGGTTTGTGATTTGCCTCAGTGCAAAAATGGGGAGGCAGCAGCCAGGCACCTCGAGAGACGGATGGCTGGATCTCGAGCACGTGCCACCAGCACTGCTGGGGGGGCCCCACTGGGCATCGGTCCCTGTGGGCACCGCGCTGAGCGAGGGAAGTTGTGAGCCTTCTCCTGCAGCACCCAAAATTAGGGTCTCCTGCTGTGAGAGCCAGGAAGGGCAGCTCGATGTATCAGCAAGCTGGCTGGAAACAGGGGCTGCTGTCAGAGCAGAAAGCAATCGTTTTGAGGGATCATTGGTTGGGTCGGGATGGGGTACCTCCCGCTGGCGATGTTTTCTCTGGGGCAGAAGGAGGCTGCGGGCTGCTGAGGAGGGTCCCGAGCCCCCCATCACACTCATATCTCCTGAAGCAGGTCTCAGACCGGGATGAGTGGGGCTGGAGGATGCTCTGCAGCAGAGGTGTCTGGCAGGATGGTGCTCAGCAGACAGAGCACAGCATCTCCCTGTGCAACACGGTGCAAATCCATGCCTCAGTTTCCCCTATTAGCAGGAGGCTCAACAGCAGATTTGAGCGGCCTAAAAGCAATAGTTTCTCATGGAAACTTTTGCCTGATAGCGAGGAGGGCAGGGCAGGGCAGGGGAGCTTGGCCATGGCTTTTGCTGTGGCTCTGCTGATGCTGTGATGGGAGCAGGCTGTTGGGGACTGCAAGGGGCCAACCTACTTCCAAACAAACCTGGAAATCTTGGACAACCCTTGGCGCACGTCCTCTGGGAGCATTGCTGAGGGCTCCAGCCAGGAGGATGGACTTGGGTGTGGGCGACTGCTGCGGGTAGATCCAGACCCACGAGCATGAGCAGCTCTTGGTCGGGGGACCAGCCCACCGCTGCTCCTTGCCGATGCCCATCTCCAGCACGTTGTGTGAGCACACACCTCTGCTGCCTTCAGCATGGCCCTGGAGCTCCTCGAGGAGCAGCCAGGGAAGCCTTTTCTCCAGGACTAAACAGACAAGCTCTCCGATGGGATCCGTGGGAGCCGCGCTTGCATCTCTGATCTTTAGATTTCCTCCAAACTGGAAAAATACAGCCCTTTGAAAATTTCATGAGGGTGGCAGTGAGCTGCCTGTCTCCTGCCGCCACGCACGTTTGAAAGCCATTTAACTGTGACTGCAGTGACAAACGTCAGCAGGAGGTCCACGCTGTGGGGAGAGCAGTGAGAGAGAGGGCATTGGAATTAAAGGATGAAATATTTATTTGGGGGTTTGGCAGCGCTGGAAGGATGACACATCACAGAGGAGAGGCATCATTGGGCGGATGGTGCTGAAAGCCACAAATGAGCCCATCAGGCTATAAACTGCCTCGAGATCTCCTCTCCCTCCCCACATCCCACCCCTTCCAGGATCGTTCCCAGCCTGAGAAAGTACAGAGAGGGTTAAACATCCAGGAATGGCCCAGAGCCGTGGACAACAAGACAGAAATCGAGTATCTGAGCCAGGATGGAGGAAGGGAAATGATAGTCCAGCTTGGCTTTAAATACAAGCTGTAAACCCTCCGACTGACGGACAGTGCATCATGCCCATGGTGGTGGAGCAGGCATAGGGAAGTCCTGGCTCTGGCAGTGGGGATGTTTGTCCAGGGCAGCCTGGTGGGATGAAAGCTCAGATCCTCCACAGAGGATCAGGATCATGAGCTTTCCTCTCCCTCCATTCAGGCTCTGGATGGCAGGTTTTCTCCTTTGCCAGCTCTTCGTTTGCTGGGGAGGTAGTGCAGGGCAGCCAGGACCCCGAGCTTTGACCCCAGGTGGTAGGGCTGAGGCTGGGGAGTGATTCATGAACTGGAGGCAACCTCCATGGTGGGTTTCAGGTGTTAATCAAATAAAGAAGCTAAATTAAATTCCATCTCTGTGTGCTGGAGAGGCTCCTGTGAGTCTGCCTCACTCCCAGCCTGGGATGTCCCATAGCACCACGAGGTCCCATCCTCAGGGTCCCACTTTGCCTCTCCCAGCCCCGAGAGGTGCCAGGATAACATCAAGGGTTAATGCAGATTGTCTCAAGAGGCTATAACCTCGTCAAGAGCACAGGATTGGCAGGTCATTAATCTCTGAATTACTTGGCAACTTTAAATACAATCATGTAATCAGCAGGAACCTGTAATTATTATTTATGTGCATGGTGCTTACCAAATTACAGCGCTCTCCAAGGCTCTGTGTGATGAACAAATTAATTCTGCAACAGAAGAGCTTGACCAGAAAGATGTTTGTGTCTGAATTTCACTCGTAAACATTGATGTATGAAATGAAATTCAAGTTTAATTGGCCCTCCCTCCTGCTGTGAAGCACATTACATTTTTATTCTGTTTTAGCTCAGCTGGTGAGAGGGAGCATCACAGAAAACTTGGAGGAGTTTCTCTAGCCCTGATGGTATTTGCGTGGGAGACCCACGCGGGGTGCTCCTCACCTCCCTTAGATGAGATGATGTTGATACCTTCATGGAGAGTCTGTATCCCACCTCCATGCCCTGGGCATGTCGACTTGCGATAGAGAGGAGACAAAAAAGCCACCAGCTGCCCCAGGTGCCTCTGTGGCCAGTGGGATGCTGGGCCCACAGTGTGAAGATGCTCCCGCGGAAAGTGGGGAGGGGCTGTACTAGGGTTATCTTTTCCAAAAGATAAACGTGCCCCAAAAGTCCTTGTGAGAGGAATCGAAGTAATTTTAATCAAACAAGGCTGAGAATACACACACTTCTCCAGCTACGGAAAGCAAAGTCATGTCAGTCAGAGCAGACTACTAAGAGGAAAAGGAAAAAACAGTGATGTGAACACAGACGCATCTGCTTGCGTTTCTTTCTTTGGTTTTTTGATTTCCAGCTTCTTTTCCACCAAACACGACCCCGCTTTAGAAAAATCCAAATTGAACATATAGTGCATTGCCTTTTGGTAACATCACTTGTATGTATGATGAAAAAAGCTCCCTGGGGCATTTCCCCTTCTCTGTAGCCAGCAGATCTCTGCCAAAGCACCTGGAAGAGAAATCAAACTGACCCACGGTGGGGACACACAGGTCTGCTTCTTGTGGGGCATCAGCAGAAAGCGTCTCCAAAGCTGGGAGCTGCCATTTTCCCATTGCGCAACTCTGGGGGTCTTTTTCTCACCCATATATTGGTTAAGGGGAACTTTTTAGTACTGTTGGTGATGGAAAAGATTGTACAAGGACCAAAACCCACCCCGTGTGCAGGGTATGGTCCTCACTGTGGTCGCTCTGTCTTACTGGGAGCTGTCACTGCTCCCACCACGTTATTGGAGGCAATAGGGTATTTCTGGGTTTGGCTGCACAGCAGACACGCAGGTAGGAAATCTCAATGGGAGGGAAATGGGAGGAATCTGCTTCAAACTATTGAACTTCTCAAACGTTTAAGGAAAGAACCTGGAGGTTTTTGACTATGTCTCCCTTTAAGGAAAAAAAGAAAGATTTTATTCCTTTCTGGTGGTGTATTCTGAGGAAATCACAAATTACTACAATTTCAAAGATCCCTAAATCTCCCCAGGGCAGGAAATATTTATGCCTGTTCTCTATAGTGGGGAAACTGAGGCACAGAAGTGTGAAGGGACATGTACCAGACCCTGCAGGGCCCCAGCAGCAAAATCCCTGGGATGAAGAGAGCAGAGCTGGCCCGTAACCCCTCTGGCATCCTCCCCTTGCCCGAGCATCCCCAGACCTCACAAGGGGCAGGAAGAACGTGGCTCCAAGGAGGTCAGGGCAAAACCCTCCACCCTGCACGGACCTCTCTGCTCATCTGCTTTTGGTGACCACGTGAAATGGAGCATCAAGGGCAGATGGCAGCAGCATGGGAGATGATCGGAGGTCCCCAGCACGGGGAGGGAGGCTGCCGCTCCTCCAAGGCACTTAACCCCAGCGCGGGAATGATTTGGCCCCATCCCCTGCGTAAGGGCAAGGAGCAGCTTTGGCACTGAGCCCACCTGCATGGGTAAAAGCAGAGCAGGGAGGAGGGGAGCAAAGCCATGGCATGTCCCCACAGTAGCTGCCTTTGGGGAGCTCAGCCCCCGCTTCACTGCAGCGCTCCTTCGCCTTTCCACTCCCCGAGCAGGGGCATGGAGTCAGCTTGAGGTCCAGGGGTTTTGCAACATCCTGCACACCCCTCTGGGCTGGGCCGGGCCGCAGGATTAACTAAACCTCATGCCTCCCTTGAGACCAAGCCCCTTCTCTGTGGTTGTTCAGAGCCCCTTGGACTCATCCCCGTCCCTTGTATGGTTCCCTCCCATCTCCCACCTCCTTGCTCTGCCTCACATCCTCGGTGTCAAGATGAGAAATGACCTGGTCAGAGCAGGCAGCAGTTACAGGACGTCCCAGGGACCCAGCAAGGGGCAGGGGAAGGGTTTGAATAACCCCAGTGGTACAAAAACACGGCCAAATAAAGCAATGTCTTCCATCACTCCAGGGCTCTCCATCCATCCCCCATCAACTCAGAGGGCTTTGGCCACCCACGAGGGTTCTGGCCCCCCCCAGCATGCACCCACTGGAAGGGTGAGCCAGCTTCCCAAGGGATTAGCCCCACAAGCTCTTCTGGTGTCCTGTCACCTCAAAGCAGTGACAAACTCGAGAGAGGCAGCCATGGGATATGGGCCATCGTGCCCAGGAGGGAGGCAGGCAGGGAGGTTGCTGCAACCTCTCTGGGGTCCTCTGTCTCCTTCCGCCACCCCAGCAGGTCACACTGCTGCCAGGGAGATGACAAAGCAGCAGCTCAGCTGTCCTATCCTACAGGTCTCACCCAGCGAGCAGGACAGAAGCTTCTGTAGGGTTTCCCATAGCTGCAGCGAGTTTGTGCGTCCTCTGCGAGATTGGTGGGTGCAGGCAGGACCTGGCTCCTGTGCTGTGCCATGTCAGGGGTCCCACACGGCTCCCCCATCCTGAACAGCAGCTCGCTCCCGGCTCAGACAGCCGAGGACTGCTTGATGCTGTGGAAGCTGACGCGGGTCGGGGAGGTGGGGATGGACATGGCCCGAGCCACGCGGGCACGGATGGAGTGTTTGTCCTGCCACCGGTGCCACCGCTTCCGTACAGCTGATCGGACCTGGGAGTGCGAGACAGAGGAGGGGACGCTTAGTGACCACGCAGCTGTCCAAAGCTGTTCAGAGGCACCAGCCATCCTCATCCTCAGTCCTTCAACCAAAAATGCCACTGAAACCCTGCTCAGCTCCCCAGGGGCAGGAAGGGTCCTGGGAGCCCCTGTCACCACCCAGGGCACCCGGATTTGTTCGATGGGATGCTGGTGACGCACAGCCCTTGCAGAAGAGACATGAACCTGACAGCGGCGCTTCTGAATGCAAAATAGAAACAAGAGGGAGAAATAAATCTGAGCAGGGACTCTGCAGGAAAGCCTGCATTGGATGCTGCAAGGGGCTGGGAGAGGTGCGAGCACCAGTCAGCAGACTTTATGGCTTGTCTGGTTCATGCTAGTGGCATTCTTCAACATTAATTATGCCCTCCAACAGCCCAGGTGCTTTGTGCATCAGGTGAATAGTGAAGCAATGCCTTTTCATCGACTGCAGTGTGGGGTGGCCCTGGCCCTGGGAGATGGGCACTGGACGCAGGCGGCCGAGACGGTGTGGTTGGGTGAACACAGAAATCGTCAGCCAGCCCGGCGGGGATTGAGAGATGAAGGACTGTGAATTGCATGGTGTGATGTGCTCCTAGGTCACCAGCTAGCTCTGGTCCAGTCCCTTTTCCTCCTGCATCGATTATATATGATTTGGTAACAAAGCAAACTTGTCTGGGGCAAACTCTCCTGAGCCAGCAAAGGTGCAAGAGCATTTGGGGGGAGGCAGAGGAAGGAGCTGCCCAAATGATCAGCCCCAGGATCAGCCTCCACTCTCACCATCTTTGCTTTCCACTGTCTGTGTTCTGGGTTAGAGCCCAGGAGGTGCCCTCACCCATGTGCCGGGTACCCACACGTGTATGGGGATCACCCTGCGGAAGGATTTTCCAGGGATAGAGGGGTGCTTGGCTCTTCAGCTGCACCGAATCACAAGGGTGTACCCCTAGAGCATCCGTTCTCAGGGGTAGCCGTTCCCAGCTGGGCACAACCTGTTGCTGCAGGTGTGCCTGGAGCTGGAGATAAAGCAGCAACTCTGATCAGCAAATGCCTTCAACTGGGGAATTCAGTGCCAGCACCCTCCAAGGCCTGTGCAGCAGCAGAGCTGTGGGCTGAGCTTGTGTCTGCTTGCAAGGAAGGGTGTAGAGCCCCCCCAAACCCCCCAGCCCCTGGTGCTCACCTCGCTGTTCAGGAAGCAGTAGAAGACAGAGACAAAGAAGCCCTGGAAGGAGACAAGCAGCAGAGTCACTGCAGAGCTACGGCCAGGAGCACCCCCAGGCTCAGGGGCATTGAGGATGTCTGGTTTTGGGAGGGGGCAGAAGCGGGGAGAGGCATCAGCCACGACAGGCTCCTCCCCATCCCTTGGTGGGTGGACAGGGATGGCATCTTGTGCTGAGGACCATACCTGGAAGGACTCCAGAAAGGAGTTGAAGTAGATGAAGACAATCCTGGAGATCTCATCCTCCCCCGGGTTGACAAAGAACAGCATGTAGGTGATTCCCAGCAAGGGCAGCAACACCAGCGTGGCCTTGACTGCTTTCCTGGGAAGAAATCATGGACCTGAGCTGCTGTAGTGCAGCCCTGGGCATGAGGACTCTCCCCCACCCAGCACCAGCGTGGCTGGGACTGGAAAAAACAGTGACCGGGGGAGGATGGAGCAGCGTTGAGCTGTTTTCCAGTGCGATCCCCAAGTGACTGGGCTGGTTTGAGCACTGGGCACCTTCGGCGGTTTCTCCATCCAGAAAAGGGTAGTGGATAGTGGAGGCCTGACCTTGAGCTGCAATGAAATGATTGCTTGGCTGATCTAAGGCTCGATTAAAAAGGAATTAAGGAGGGTAAAATAATTCACACCCTTCAACACGGGTTTATGAAAAACTCATCTGAGCTAATTAATTTGATATCTTCTCTTGATGAGATTACAAGTGCAGTTTGAGGAAAGTAATAGTGCTGATACAAGAGTGTGGGAAGGATCGGGGCTTGGCATCTCATTTGATTGGATTAGGGAACAAGAAAAATGCCAAGGCAACACTTTTTGCTTAAAGATCTTGTTAATGGACAGATTCCAACATTAGCAGAGCACAGGAAAAGTCATCCCTGGCAGAGCTGGGCTGGGCAGGGATGGGGCCTGGGACTGTGCTGCATCGCTGACCTGGAGGAGAGCCACAGCCACCAACACAAGCTGCCAGATGGCATGGAGGAGCTGGAAATAACTGAGGACATGAGCATCTTCAGGCTGGCAAACTATGAGACAGCACATGCACCAGTGTAGCTTCTCCAGGGGAGCAGCCATGGTAGCAGGGGATCCGGCAGGATTTTACCAAAAGCTGTTGTCTAAGGTGAGCAGGAGCCCTTCAGGGCTGTCCCTTGCCTGGCATAAGCAGGACTGCAGAGTTTGTAACCTACCAAACTCTTCAAGTTTTCCTGTCCCACAAGATGTTTCTGGGAAATTAAAATGTTCTTTTGCCCAAAGGTGAAAAATCACCTTCCCTGCCAAAATCAGGCAACAACTAGAAAACCAGAAGTCTTTCAAAATTGCTGACTGAGGCCAACCAGCCCATTTCAATAACATTTATCTTTGTGCACCCTAAACTGAATTGTTCATCCCAGCTCTGTGATGAGGAAAGCTGGTGTGTTGCAATGAAAGCATGTGAATTTTCCCATTCTCAGGTGAAAAAGCCACCCTCCACCCTGAACCTGCTTCCCTTGACCCAGAACACAGTGAGATTCCCTGATTCCCGCCCAGAAAATGATCTAGAGAGAAGCATGGATGGAAACCAAGGTGTCTTCTGTTCCAGGTACTTCAGAGAGCTGCTCTGACTGTCCACCTCCCAAGTTGTCTGCAAAATATTCCCCACCAGAGAAGGGTTACATTTTCCTGATTTGTGCTGCCTTCTCTTTGCAGATTTGTGAGGAGGTGTTTGGGGTGGCATTGATTCATTGCTCCTTCTTTGGCCTTTGCTTTGTTGTCAAGCAGCAATTTAATTCTCACCTCCATGCCAGGATTTGCAGCTCTGAGCCCAGAGAATTGATCAGGTCCCACCAGAACGAGCTTTTGCAAAGAGACTCAACTCCTCCCAGTATCTCCCTTCAAAGGCAGGTCCAACCATCCATGTTCTCCATTGAAAAGATCTCACTGGCCAGGATTTTTCAACAACCCCAGATGCAATGGCCGCGTGTCTCCAAAAAGCATGAGGTGCTCTTAGATGTCTCTCCATGCTCCTGTCCCCTTAATGCTTGGCTGATGGGGCTATTCCTACCCTCCCTAGACATGCTAATGGAGTTTCTAGGTCTGGTTTCTGCAGGGTCACTCATGCTCTTACCTGTACTGGATTGTCTCTGATGTGGTTGAAGCTCGGAGCTTCGTCATGAGGATTCGGACGATGTTGAAGAGAAAAATGAAGTTGATCTGGAAGGAAGAGGGTACCTGGTTAGTGTCTGCTCCCCCAGCATTTCCTCCCATTTCCTCAGCAGAAGGAATGGGCTATGCCAGTGGAAATGAGGTTCAAGAGGAAACATTCTCATCTATTGCCTTCCATGCCCTGGAACAGAACATCTGCATTTATAATTTTTTAAAGCACTTTAGCAAAAGGATTTAGGAGTTTGTTTGAGGGAGCAGGGTAGCAGCTCACACCAGGAGATTGGTGAGGAAGGGCAAGCATTAGAGAAAGGGCTGGAGGGGAGGAGGAAGGGATTTTGGGAGGGTGGCTGCCATCACAGCAAGGAGCTGGCCGCTCTCCCAGCTGTTGAACCACTAATGAGGGCAGGGGAAGGCAGCACTGGGAGCTGAGCACAATTGACACAAATTAAAAGTGGCCTGGCTACCTGATGGGCTGGGAAATGAGAAGCAGGCTCAATTATTCAGCGAGGCTGGTTGGTGCTGATGATTAGTACTCCCTCAGGTTTCCCTCAGCGTTGGGCAAGGAGGGAGAAAAAGCTGTGGGACCTTGTGCACAACTTTCCCCCTACAAACAGAGGTTGGACCCTGGCACTGCTGCTTGTGACTTGCCACCTCTGTCCCTCTTTGTCCCTTCCCAAAAGGGCAAAGCCTCAGCAAATTATGGGCCATATGGCCCCTGGTTCAAGTATCACTGCCCAGCCAAGGGCCAGGACCAGAGTGGTGTGGATCAGGGCATGTGGAGCGAGGTCTCCAGGCTCCCTTTCTAGCCCATCCCAAGCCAGCAGCATCCCTACGTGCTATTTCTCACTGTGGGTTAGGTGCCCAAATTTGCTCAAGGTGCAGCCTGGGTGCAGGGATCTGGGCTTGCAGGGCGAGTGGCATTGCTGCTGTGGGGCAATGTAGCCAGCTGCGGTAGGGTGAAGCTTAAGGAGGGGACAAGACCCTGCTCAGGAACAGCCTTATCTCACGTGCAGATGGGAAGGACCCTATATTTAGCAAACAAGGTCACTTTGCTCTTACCAGAAGCACCAGGATCATGGGGCCTTGGTAAATGTAGTCGGTATAAACTCCTGCTCGCTTCCCAAACCAGCACCTGCAAGGCAAGGACAAGGGGTGTCAGAGACAAGCCTGCAGTGTGAGCGACCTGGATTTACTCCTGTCCTTGCACAATCTCTGTAAGTCACTGTCCATAGGGTGAAAACACTACAACTTAAACTGCTGTAGCCACTATGGACTAGCTTCCCCAGGAATGGGGTATACGGAGGTGCACGGGGGCTTGTGAAGGTGTTTATGAGCCCAGTACAGATGTGGGAACTGGTTACTGTAGAACGAGTGGGAACAACCTTACACACACACAGGTCCGGGGTGGCTCTGTCCCCAGCAAACCCTGCGGGAGCTCATGCAGCTGTATCCGTATTCTGGGAGCACCTTGTTGGGTTTTGTTAAATCAATGCCGTGCCTGCCTGGGTAGCAAGGGGCTGCTGAAGTCAGGGGGGCAAAACTAGCACTGAAAAACAAGACAAGCTGCCTGTTCAATTAAATGGGCTCCTTTTAACATCCGGGTCCATGTGATGAACTCTCAAGTGCCTGTTAAGACCTCCATTAGCAAGTCTCTGTGAAAATGGCTCAGGTGGTGGTAGTTTATATCTCTGCTGGTAGATTAAATCCCAGCTCCATTTAGCAAACACATTGTAGGAGCTCTGGCTTAATCTCGCCTTTTCCCCCTTAAAAATCTCATTTGCCCTTTGAAGAGAAAAACGCAGTGGCAGGTGGCTGCAGGCAGGGCTTGTGTGGCAGAGAGCCTAAAGGTGGGATAAAAGATAGAACAGAAGACTATTATATTTTTTTTCCTCCCACCCTTTCCATGTACCCCATCTTGTGTCAGCCCTTCCAGGCAGGATCTGTGCCTGCCGCAGCCCCGGCACAACTGATCTCTGGGGAATTGGGATAGAGAGGAGAATGGGGAAGGAGAGCAATCAGGCTCACTTCTCGTTGTCGTAGTACAGCTTCCCGATGGCCCAGGCGACGATGATGGGAAAGGGGATACCTGCAGATGAACACACAGATGAGTCTCAGGGCTGCAACGTTGCTGCAAAATCATACCATAACAGGGATTATCTCACACGGGGCAAACCACCGGGTGAGATGATATGGCCATGCAAATCCCATCCTCCTGCTCCTGGCTGCCTTTTTGCATGTACTTGGGTGCAAGAAGACCTGGAGCAGAGGATGGAGGTGGGCATCACCCATCACTAAAACCCTGGGTACCTGGTGAATGAAAGGTACTTACACCAGCCGATGCAGATGAACATCCACTTGCGGAGCTTGTCTGTGGAGTAGGTGAGCACGATGGCTGTGTGCAGGTAGCAGCCCTCGCCGAACATCCAGAAAAAGTTGGTGACATGGAAGTAATTGTAGGCAGCAGTGACCAAGCGGCACCAGACCTGCCAGAAGGGTTAGGAGGAGAAGTGGAGGGTGAAGAGTAGAGCTCTATGTTACAGGGGTGAAACCGATGCACAGAGCAACACAGGCCCCAGCAGAGCAATTGAATCCATGTTTCTCATAAGCCTAGGTGGTCCACCAAAAACCAAGCAGCCCTATTTGGGCCCTCAAGCTGCTTTTGTGGCCACACATCTAGGATCCCCAAGCTCTCCACGCTTTCCAGCTGCTCAGGGCCAGGCTCAGGCCAGCTGCCTGGCAGAGCTGCACCTACCACATTGCTCTCGTGCACCTCTGGGTTCATCGTGAGCTGCACCACGAACCACGTGGCATTGCGTAGGATGAAGGCTGTGATCAGGTTCCAGTGGATGATGTTCCTCAGGCACCGGATGCTCCTGGAGAAGAGGGGACAAGGGACAATCAGAGCATGGTGGGTGTCTGGGGCCCAGCCATGTGTGGGCTGGGGGACAGAGCCGTTTGTGTAGCTGAATGTCTTTGTTGGGACACCAAGGTTGAGCTGCCGGAGCCATGACCAGCATGAGGTGGGCAGGACCAAGGCCAGAAGGTGGAAGGCACCAAGCAAGACCCTCTGCCTCCATTACCCACTGCTTTAAAAAAACAGCAGGAGGAGAATAACCCTGAGATAGACGTGATCCCTCCAGGCTGGAGAGCAATGGCCACAGGGGGGGATATGGCAAAACGCAGGGGCTGGGTTGTGCCCTCCCTCGTGCCCCTGGCAGCAGCGGCTCAGGTCACTCACCGCAGGCGCATGAAGAGCACGAAGGCCACGAGGAGGGCCCCCAGCGAGACACAGTGCCCCAAGTAGTTGATGATGACGGCGATGTGGTAGTGCAGCTTGCTCTTCTTCTGGCGGGGGGAGATGGAGAGGGGGGTCAGCAGCAGCCCCACGTACCACCACAAACCCACCTCCTCCACCACATCACCTCTGAGAGCGACACTGCAAAATTTGGGTCCTTTTTCAGAAAGCAACTGGAGCCCTTCTGGTGCAGGGCAGTGGAAATGGGGCTGGAAGGGGATGCGGCTGGTTGGATGGGGATAATGTGAACAGGAGAGGCACCAATCTGGCCCTGCAAAGAGCTCAGGCATTTCATATCCTACTCATACCAGGGCAGCTTCATGGTTGCTACCCCTACATCACCTCTGCTCAGCACTGGGACACCCCCAACCTCTCATCTGGGGAAATCCTGTAATTCAGCCGAGCTCACTGGCAACATGACATTTGATGTCTCAGTTCATTCCCCACTGCCCTGGGGGAAGCTGAGAGGCTGGGATGAATTTGGGCAGAGGGAACGAGGGATCTTGGGGAAGGTGTGAGTGATAATTAAATTAATTGATTGCTCCTGCTGTTAGGCACTCATCCAACCTGTGAATTAGCAATTAAGCGAGTGAGAAAACCATTCCTGGCAAGAGATATCAGCATCTTAAATACCAGAGGTGGTTATCAACTGCAAATGAACAGCTTGCATCTCTTCTCTTCTCTTCTCTGCTCTGAGGGGTGCCTTGACCTACTCTGGGGCTTGTAATTCTTGGTCCCCATGTTTTTATTCCTTTCAGCTTCCTAAGCATCTCCTTTATTTCATTGCCAGTGGGGAGGGATGGGGTTTGCACTGAGTGTTTGTGTCAGGAGGGAGCTGGAGGAGGGTGATGGGACTGGAGGACATGCTGATCTGCACCAGTGGCCCTGGGGCCAGGAGACCTCACACTGCCAATCCTCTTGGATTTTTAACAGGCAATGAAACAGGCATGGCTTTATTTTTGGCAGGGAATTAAACTGCAAATCAAAAAGGGGTTCATATATGCTGCATGCAAACTTATATCTGGGATGCTGCTGCACACCCAGCCCACAGCTCCCTCGGGCCATTCTTGGTTTGGATGCTGTTGCCCTTCAAAACCCCATTGTCTGTCTCTCACCTTCCTGCCAAGAGCCCGGCTGAGGGGCTACCAAGGTCCTACCTCTTCGCTGAGGATCTCCTGGCACTGGGAATAGTTGACCCGTGCTGCCCAGCTCCCGTTAGCGAGGCACTCCCTGTAGCCATTATCTGGAAGAGAGGGTGTCCGTCGAAGGGTTAACAGGGCATGCAGATGTGCATAAAGATGGATCTGATGATCCTCACTGCTGCAGTGGTCATTGGCATCAAACCAGTGGCATCTTTTGCTTTGAAGCCAGCTCAGATGCTGCCTTGGTTGCAATTACAGGACCAAAATCCGCAGAACATTTCAGACCCACTCAAGGGCTTTGGGTCTGCACCAGCTCTGCCCCTCGGCGCAGGGGGGGACCCTGACGCCTCCCACCACTGAGATGCAGTGGGAGCAGCACGAGGTCACTCTCCTTTTCCACTCCTCTGCGCCCTTTGCTCGAGCGATTACATCCTAGCCTGCTGCAGGGGCAGCATGAAATTTTCACTTCTCTCCCTGTGTTAGGAGCTTTCTTTGCCTCCCAGCAAGGACGGCAAGCGGCAGGGCTAATTGGGAAGGAACGGCCACGAGAGCCCCAGAGCAGTCTCCGATTAGCGTCAACACCGGGGTGATGCTGGGCTTCTGCTGTTAACAGGAGAGACTGTGAGCCTCATCAGGGCGATGGGATGGGACAGGGATGGGGATGGCTCTTGGGCAGGCACAAGTATGGATTAATGCAAAGAGACTCCTGCAAAGGCATGAGAGGCACCACAAAGCAGGAGCCGTATGCGTGCGATCTTCCACTGCTGCAAAAAGGTGTGGGATGGAAAAATTGATGTTTTCTGTGGGATAGAAGATGTTTCTTTCATCAAAAGCACTGCTTGGGTGGTCAGAAGCTCAACCGTGTGCTAGGAATGGCTTTGGGCACTTTTCAAGTGCCTTCACTTTGTCCCCAGCTCCCAGCAAGTCATCAGCAGTGACAGCTCAGTCACCCGTGGTGAGAGGGGATGAGCCACAAGGTCCCCCAGTTCTTGCTCACTTGGGGGTTGCAGATCTCCCTGCAACAGCAGGACAGGCTCACTTCTATTCCCCTGTCCTCAAGAGGGGGACATCAGCCCTCTCCCCCTTCACAAGGGCATGTCCAGGAGGACCTGACTATAAAACTGCTTCTGTGAAACCACCCTCCCTAAAATTTGGGATATGAGGGCTTTTTTCTTTTTTGGTTGATGGATCCCACAGAGCCCCCCAGTGAGCTCTGTACCCAGAGATGTATTGTCACTTGTGTCTCCGCAGCCCCTGATGCACGTGGCTCTCTGAACTCCCCCATCCCTCATCTACCATGTCCCCAGCTGCGTGGGTCATCTTACTCGTGGTGTTGTACCGCACGCCATAGAAATATTCGGGGCAGGGGCGAGCTACCAGCTGTCCCACAGCACTCCGGGGCCAACACGTGCCGATCAGGTCTACTGAGGCGTTGCACTGGGGACCTGTGGGGAAAAAGGGTAGAGGGTTAGCGGAGGTCTGTGGGCCACCTCCAGGCTGTTGAAGGGTCAAGGTTTGTCTGGAGAGCTGGGGCTGCAGACCTGGTGGGTTGCTGCAAGCTCAACCCCCAGAAAAACCACACAGCAGATACTAAGCAGGGTCTGTGTCAAGACTCCCCAAGGGCTGGTTGATCCATCCTGGCCATGACTTGCCCAGGTCCTGTCTGAACACCTGGGTTAAGCCCAGTTCTGACACAAGCCTGGTTTTCCAACCTTGCTTCTCAAGTCAGCTTGGGGCTGTCTGGCTCTGGGCTTCCAGCCTTGCTCCTTTCTTCAACCTTGACTTTGGCATCCAGCCCCGCAAGAGCCAGCAATAAGCCAGATTTTCTCTTTCCCAGTGGTGACTCCAGCTTCCAACCCTCTCACACCTGGCTGCAAGATCTCCTTCCTAGCTGTTCCTGTTGGTCTCTTCCAGCCTTTCCTGGGAATAAAACTCCAAGACTGCTGCTGCTATTTCAAATTTCAAGCAGGACTTGTGTGCTTTTCCCAGCTACACAAGTGTGCTAACATAGGCATTAGGTAGGCCAGATTGCAGGATTTTTTATGTATAATTTGTGTATATTTAGAACAACGTGTACTGTAGCTAAACATGTCCTAGCTACATCTCAAATTGAGGTAGGAAGAACAATGGCTGTAATATCCATATAATACAATCTTTGACAGGCAGCAGATGGATGGGCAGCAGACCCTGAAAGGGGCAGAGTTCAGTGCAAACCACCCCTGAGTACCAGAGATGTTTGTGCTGCTGGTGCAGAGATAAACCACCCCAATTCACAGCTCTCTGGGGATGAGAACACAACGTTTTGTCTCCACCTGGACTTGATGGTTGTTATTTGAATGCTTTTCCTGAAACTTCCTACGGATAGGGCTGGCTAAAGAGTGACCAAACAAAACCAGCAAAATACGGTGTTATTAATATGACGAAGGTTTTCATGGGGGAATATTTGTTTTCATTGATTATCTGAAAAATTGGCTTCTTGGTTTCTTGGGATGTTCTCAGAGCAAATTTTCAGTGCGAAGAAAAGGAGGGCTTTCTTCAAACATCCTTGCAAGGGAAAACAACTTCCTTCCAAGCATGTGAGCTGGGGAAGCATCAGAGCATGGTGAGCATTAATTTCTTCCTTCCATAGCTTGTAGTGAGAAATTAATTTTAATGATGACCTTTGCATTTAGCTTTGCTAATGCGTATGGTTGCTGCAGCAACCTTCACTTTAAGTTAACTGTTTTGAGCTTGTATTTCTTAGGTGCATTTAATCATGTGTAGTGTGCGTGTCTGCGCTTACCTGCATTCATTAGCATTTGTTGAGCTCCTTAGTTGTTTTGACCCAAATTTGACAGAGAAATAGAGGGTCATAGAAAATGAAGTTCCTGTTTAAAATTTTATGATAATATTAATCCAGGTAGAGAAAAGACAACCAATAATTGCTTCAACTAAGGACAAAGTTAAATTACAAGTGCTCTCCCTGTGAATCACCTGGGAATTGCTGCAGGTGAGAAGCTGCTTGAATATCTGGAATAGGAAAAGCTTCACTTGGAATAACCAGGTACAGAAAAATGGGGCTTGCACAGTGCTAATGCCCAGAGCAGCTCATGCAGTTGTTGAAAACCCTCCCTGTGACCAGTGGGGCTGACCACAAACTCCATTGCCTCCTCATCCCCTCATGCCTCAGTTTCCCTCCTGCATCCCAGGGGCTGAGCTGGAGCACAGATACCAACTGCTCAGGGAGGAGAAGCAGGAAGGCTCTAATTAAAAGCTAGCAGAGCCAGAGAGTAGTAGCAACAGTACCCTCAACCAGTAAAACAAAACCACAGCAATAACCAAAACCAAGATAGATTAATGCAAATGATGTGGTCAGACAAAGGTGGCATTGTTCTGCTATATGTCTGCTCAAGTCTGGATTTAATATCTCCGCATTTCTCCAACGCTCCTGATGTAATGCTGCCTGGCACACCCATTAAATCTCTATGGACACCCGCCAGATCACAAACCGAGTGGATGGGTTTTGCAGTCCCACCATGGCAGGGACACGGGGTGAAGGTGGAGCAGCATCAGCAGGAGCTCCGACCCTTCCTCGTCCCATGGGTCAGGGTTGTGGGGTGACATTCGGGCTTGGGGGCTGCAGTTGGGTGAGCAGAGGTCAGGCTTAGCCACGCTGGAAGAGACTCCTGGACTTCACCCTGTGCACAGCAGGCTTCACCCCAGCACCTCTGTAGGTGGCATTTTGAGGTTTGTCCCACCAGTTTTTCATCTAGTGGGTGGCTGTAATATTTTTCTGGGGCTCATGCTGAGAAATGCTTGATGAAGAAAAGCTGCAGAAAGCCGATGTTGCTCTTTCTGCTCTCTCCAGCATATAGGGAAGAAAAAATTTTTGCTGGAGAAGGGTTAAGTAGAACAGCGAAGAAGAGGAGTGCCGTGAGGGCTGCAACATCCCATTTGCCCAGCACAACCAGTCTGCTCCAGCTGCTCCCCAGTGGCACACGGCTCCCAGCATTTAGAGCACTGTTTAGCATGGAAATTATATGTATCAGTGCTAAATGCTTTCATATCTGCTTTGCGACCCATCCATATTTGCAGGGGGATTATTCTCCCAGGTTCTGCAGATGTCTGCTCCAGCTTTCTCAGCACTGTTGGCTGCACGGACAGTTTTGTTCTTTGCAGCTTTACAGAAAGAAAGGTCAATGAATTTTCTACCTGCACCCAATCCCCCTGATTTGGCTCCCTCACACACAGAAACACAGCATCTGGGGTAGGAAGGAGCTAGTCCTGCTTTGAGACGGGGAAAGTAGCATGGGAGAAGTCACTCAAATCCCTTCTCACTCCATTTCCTTTGGGTTGTGATGCTTTGAAGCAATATAAACCATTTCCTTTCTTCTGAAGAAAAAATGTGCCTGTCCAGGGACTTACACTGAGACAACTGTATCACAATAACTGTCTCAGGATAACTATAGCAATATCCCTCCTGTTTACATAAAACATCCCTCGCCAGCATGCTTCGACCACTCACAGAGGCCCCTGAGATGGCTCAAAGCTAAAGCCACACAGCCATGTGAAGCATGGCAGCGTAAAGCTCTCCACTCCCAGCTAATCTGCCAAAAGATTTTGAGCAAATTTAAAGAGGATGGAGCATGTTTATCCTGGTCCAGCACCACCAGACATGCAGCCACGGTGCTCTTCAGCTGATGCCAGAAGGTCTGAAGTGTTATTGTACCAACAAACTATTGCCAGGATGGTATGAAGAGGAGTAAAGCAAAGGTTGTGTTGATATAACTGTGCCAATAAACGTGTTTTCATCTCACACCAGGCAAAGCTTTGCACCAGTGAAGCATCCCAGCTTGCTGCTGTCCCCCCAGCAACACTATGGCTGCTTGAAGGGCAAAGCCTTTCTCCCCTTATGCAGTGCAAAGGGACCAGGAAAAACGATTGAAATTTGAACCACATGCTCATTCCTGAGGTTGGGAGTGATGGGGTTATTTATCTAAGGTGTCTCAGGAGGCTGAAAGATGTTAGCTCGTATCTCTACCTGTCCTGAGCTCTTACTCAACCACAATTATCTGTCATCCCTGATGTCCTCAGTGACTGCGCTGCTGCTGCTGCCTCTTGAGCAGGATGAAGCCTCTGGCTCCTTGAGGGAGTTCCTGCTGCAGCATTTGCATTTGATAATCAGGGCTTCATCTCCACATCTAATCAAAATATACTTGCTGCAGTCAGTGTGCAAAAGGTTGGTTGTCCCTCCCAGGCATCTCCATCACACTGGTGGAGCAGAAGGAGCCATTTCACACTTTATTGCCCCAAATCGAGGGCCTTTGAGGGGATGCTCTTATTTCAGGCACTGATGTGCCAAGGAGGGGTGGCTTGATTCCAGCTGCAGAGCCACTCAGCTCCTTGAGGCATTGAGGGAAATGGTACTGGGAGACAACTTATGCTAAGATGGGGTTGAAATTGGGGTGGTGGAGCTGCTTGTCTTCCCTCTGAGTCGGGGCTGGGTACTCAGTATGGCTGGGAGCAACTGTGGCAGTCTCAAAATACTTAGATCCTTGCTTGCACACTACCTCCACCACTGCTTTTGGTGGTCTTGGGTGTTTCTATTTATCTTTGTAAGAGTCCAGTCCTTAAAAAAATCCCCAGCAATCCTCTCAAGCATTCAAGTTCCACGATCCTCAATGAAAAATAATTACACAGGTTAATTAAGGGTTATGATAGCAAAGTGTCTTTGTAATGAATTTTCAGCTTGTTTCTGTTCACCATCATTGGCTGTCCCCTTGGGTCTTTGCTGCTATTCTGGAGAAGAATAAATAGGAGGCATCAAACCTAGATTCTGCCATTGGTATTTGATGCATCTGCTCAATGTCGTCACTTCAGACTGATCCATGTAAGGCTTCTGTGGAGCAGATATATTTATTGAATATATAATGTAGTGGGTTGGGTTTGGGGCATATCCTGTTCTCCTGATATGACCAGTAGTGTCATTGGAATTGTGTTATTACCAAGGGTAGCAGCAAATGTTTTATTCCCTGGTATTGGCTGGGCTTTGCTGGTGGGTGAGCAGAGAAGCATAATCCCTTGCTGGCAGAGTTTTCCTAGCAAAGACTTCTAGTTTGGCTACAACTGAACACAGTAGCTGGCAACAATTTTACTGCAACCAGTCCAAAGTACAGTTTAACTGCCGTAGCTGCCACTCACGCTGAGATATGCCAGTACACTGTTTCCTACCAGAAAACCTCATCATCTTCCCTCCTCTACTACAATCAAAATCTATGAATATAAGCCAGTTTCTATTGACATCCCTGTTTCCTAGATGATGGAGCAGAATGGCTTTATCGATACTAGTATACACTTAAAACACTATGATTTTCCATATAGATGAGTTCACATTTTTTGGTTCCCAAACCCACTCCAGTATCACGGCTCTCCCACGGTGCTAAGTCCCTGCCAGGACTCATTGCTGCCTCTTTAGCCCCTGCTCAGCTCCTTTATTGGTATTTCTGCCTTGGTGGGAAAGATGCCAATGAGGCTGAAGGGAAAAGAAGCACTGATGTTGTTAATTTGACCTTTATGAATTTAAATTCCAGTCTCTCCCAAGGGGAGTCAGTGAGTGAATGAAAGAGCAGCGGCACGAGAAGGGGCTGCTGGAGCAGCGTCAGCAGTTTGGGGAGCTGAGATGGAGCGGGTGGAAAGTCTCTTGGCCAAACTGTCACCTGCTGTGAAATATGTTTCCAAACCTGTCTGATAAAGTACCTGTGAAGAAAATGCTCTCATCACTCGCTGCTCTCCTGTGCTTTTCAGGCACAGGCTTTTGCTATATCTGGACCAACTGGATTTGCTTTATTTAAATGTAAAGCTGTGCTCCCTTCCCCTCCTTGAAAAAACATTATGGTTTTTGTTTGTTTGTTTGTTTGTTGTTTGTTGTTTTGTGTTTGTTTGGGTTTTTTTGTTTGTTTTTTAAAGACATTTCTATTCTGTTCTGCCTACCTTTGGTGTCATTTTCCTTTGTTTTAGGTGAACTTGCAGTGGCAGGAAACATTTCCTGAGAAGGAATCAGCTGTGCTCCCTTCCCTCTCCTGTGCACGCACACAGGATCCAGGATAACAATTTATTGTGATAACAGTTTAACAGCTTAACGAAGTGAAACGTGCAGCCAGGACCAGCCAGGGCTATTAGCATTTGGGTGCCAACTCCTTGGGCTGATCCAAGCTTGATTGCTACGAACAGCAAAACAACCCCGTGAGCGCTCTGAGCTCGCTCCACTCCAGTGCTTTTCGCTGGGCTGCTTTGGAAAAGCCTCATCTATTAATTAGGAAGAGGCTTTCCCATCTGCTCAGATTCCCTCTTCCTTCCCCAGGGAAGTGCCCTGATGGGAAGTGGTCCTGCAGCTGCTGGGGGATGCTCTGCCCCGCTGGCTGAAATGCCCTTGTCCCTCCCGGAGGGGCTTTGTGGCAGGGCAAGGCGAGGTGAGAAGCAGCTGTGCACAGACCCTGGGGAGATGAAATCATCAGAAAGACAAATTTGTGGTCTGAGGCAATCTGCGAGCTGGGAGCCCTTGGGACAGGCACCTATCCACTCTGGACAAGGGATGCTGATCTCCGCTGCGTTCCTTTTTAAGCTTAATCGGGGAATTTCTTGGCTTCCAGATGTTTGGGGGTGCAGCTGAGCTAACTTTCCTAATGCACCACGTTTACCTCAAGTCCAGCCTGGTATGATTTCTGCCTGCAGAAGAAAATATTCACGGCTACTGAGGAAAGCAGCATTTCTGATGGAGTGGCAAACTGTGCGTGGGTGCCCATGTGTCCCAGCACTGGCCAGAATCAGGGGCTCACCGAGAAGTATTTTTGATGCATATCTAAAATACCAGGTTGAACCATCACACTTGTGTGGGGAGCCTGAATGCCAAGGGACATCACACTGCGCTGGGGACAGTGTGCTGAGAGGAAGACTGGTAAATTAATGCTGGTAAGAGGGCAGGACAAGGGAGCTCTGTGGGGCTCGGCTGCTCTGCTTCCTGGGGTGAGGGCTTGCTTGCAATGCCAGCACCCCATGAGCCTGGTGAGCATCACTCTGGGTCTGTCACCACCACAGTGCTGTGAGCAGAGACCTTTCCAGCTCAGTGCACGCGCCTGGCAGACTGCTGGCACCCTGGTCATATCACTGTCCAGCCATGCCTCCTCATTAAAAAGTGTGAGATTAAATAATGAAGGGACTGGTGACCTGAGAGAGGAGGAGAGCCCATGCTGGGCTGTTTTTGGGAGGAGGGATGCTGCATGCGGGCACGAGGCAGGGCCCCTCCGTGCATCCAATGGATGCCCTGCCGAGCCGCGCGCTGCAGGACCGCTGGGCTCGTGTTATCAGCATGTGCCATTTCCCAAGGGTTATGCAGACATTAACAAATTAAGTCTCATGGCCTCGCTGCAATTCTCATTAGCGTCATCCTAACAACTCTCCATGTTAAATAGCCTCGAAACAAAGTTTTCAGTTTTGTAAATATCCCTCCCTAGGAATCGCTGCCTGAATCAGACAGGGCTTAAATGGACTCCAAGGATGAGGGTTGGCGCTGAGCTCCACTTGCCAAGCAGCAGACAAAAAACAATTAGTTTCATCTCTACCTCTTGTCCTAAGCCCCCTCCTTGAGCTGGAAGCGGCTCTCAAGTGCTCCAGCTCCATCCCAAATTAGTGAGTTACTCGAGCCTGACAGTTTGGATGTGTGGAGATTTTGCAAATCTGAAGCCTGACATGTGTTCCCCTGTGCCAGGGTGATGGGTACTGAGGTACACTAAATCCTGCTGGGATTTGCACTGATAAATCCCTACTGAGCAAAGCCCAATCCTTGCAGAAAGCAGCGCCCATTGCTTGAGGGTGGCGGCGGTTGCAGGGCATATGCATCAGCAAAGCCACGGCAGAAATTCTCCCTCCTCTCTGCTGTCTCCCCTGGCTTCAGGAGGTTCCAGCAGTGGGCTGTGAGCTGGGCACGAGGAGGCTCTGGGACCCGTGTGCTGCCCAGGGATGTGCCACCAGTGGGTCCATGCATCGCAAGAGGGTCCTGTGGTGCTTGGCCAGTGCTTCTGTGGGTCAGAGCCCACAGTGCTGGACACGTGTTGCACCAGAGGAGGTGAGTAAGAAGAAAACAAACACCATTTATCCCAGCCTAACATGGCCAAGGACAACTACCTTGCCAAGCAGAGTGATGAAACCTTCAGGGAGCAAAGCATCTGAGTGATGACCAGGTCTGCATCATGCCCAGGCCAAAGGCACACAGGCATTTTCATTCCTACTCCCACTGGCAGCTCTGCTCTCCCTCAGCCTTCTGCCTCCATTTCTTGGGCTGGGGATGCTCTAGGGACACTCCTTGCAGGGCTGTGGTGGCCTGGGCTCAGCCAGGCACTGAATCAGCTGGTGCCAAGCTGTAATTTTTTAAAAAGGAGTTTTTAATGCTGCTGTTAATGGGAGCTGGGTGGCAGGCAGCCATCCATCAGCGCTGGGCCTCCACAGCCATCCATCACCCTGATGGAGAGAGCTGCTCTGAGCAGCAGGGACCGGGGCAAGGGGGGCAATTGCTTTGTGCCTGCTCTGCTATTCATTCATTCACTGGAAAATGAACTCTGCAGCATCCCTGAGCTGGGGAGGGATTTTCTCCTTGTCCCTGCGAGTTCCTCGCCTCTCCCTCAGCCACCTTTCCTCCCCTAAAACCTGTCACTGAACCAGACCTGCCACTGCTGAGGTGACATCCAAGTCACATCTTGAATATAGGCTAAAAGCCAATTTTGGCACAAACACAACTTGGGCCTGACCTGGGTGGATGCAAAGCCATAGATGGGTGTTGAGTAGAGGTGAGCTGCCCATGATCCTACTGCCCATCATCCTGCTGATGCTCAGCTCGTCTGAGCCAGCCCTGGCTGTGGCCGTGTCCCCAGAAGCTCCTCGTGGCTGGCGGCCTCCCAAAATGCTCAGTGGCACAGATCTAGGAGCACGGGGGGGACGGATGGTGGCCGAGCCCTGAGCACATAGTGGCCACACTGCACTGGTGACGTGGTCTCTGACAAAAGACACAATCTCCAGTTGTCAGCCCTGGGCAGGGGGATGGCAGAGGGGTATGGACATAGGGGACAAAAGTCCTGGTGTCCCTAAGCATGGCAGAGAATGGGCAGTGCAGGATCAGGGGCCGAGCAGATGTCTCTTTGCTCACATTCCCCTCAAGCCCATCCCAACAGACATTTATTTTCTCTATTTTTAGCTTTCCTGAGCTCTGCATCTTCTACCTGCCTCAACTGTCACCCTGCAAAGAGGCTGCTGCAGCAGCCAGCACCAGGCTGCAATGCAGCCTCAGCACATGCCACCTCCCCCTGAAAAGGAGCCAGGCAGCTGCAGATCAGCCCAGAGACCCACCCCTGCACCCTCATCCAGACATCCTTGCCATTGGGGTCCCCTGGGGATGGCAGGGGGGTGTGCTGGGGATCCAGGACACTCACCTGTGTGGTTGGTGATGGGCGGCAGGCTCTCGCAGTACTGCTCTTGGATGGAGGCTGCAACAGGGCTATCCCAGAGGAGAAATGCCTGCACGGGGAGAGAGCAGACCACAGGCAGGGTTATATGTGCAATATGCCGCTTCCCCAGCCCCCAACCCTTCCTTGGACATGGCAGCAGGGGGGTCACATCTGAGCTTGCCCACATCTTGCTGGATGCCAGACCCCAAAGCTGCACGATGGACACATACCCATTTGCAGGATGGGTTTCCCAGCCCAGAGGAGCTGGGCTTATCCAGCCTGGGGCTGTGGGACTGATGCTCTCTGCTCTGTTTCCCACCCACCGATCCTTTCCTGCCACAAATATCCCCCTCAGCAAACCATACTGCAGCCCCGCACAGTCCCTGCCAGGTCACGGAGCTTCTGCTATTTAGCAATTAAATCAACAGTTTTAGTTTTAGCATCTTTGCATCCTGAGAGCAGACAGGGGAAACATGATGAGCCTGACACCACACTCAGATTTTCAATACTTTGTTAAAATCACAGCCTTGTAAGCTGTCAGTGAAAAGATGTTAATACACATCCTTAAGGAGATCTGATCCACAGCCAACTGGGTCTGGCTAAAGCCTTTTTTTAGGAGAAAGGCTTGTCTGCAAACACTGACATTCCCATGGCATTGGGAAGCACTGACCAGGATCTATCCCATCCCTTCTCCAGAGCAGCTCCGAGTGGCTCTGCAGCTCTGCTGCAAGTGAAAACCAGCATCATGGGGAGCTATTCTGGAAAAGCTACTTCTGAATTATTCTGCCTTTGCAGGAGTTTGAGGAAACTAAAGCTAAGGAAGGCAGTTGCAAGTGGAAGACAGCAGAGGGACAGTTAGACCCAAGGCTCACCAGGGAGGCAGATGGGGGAAGGAGGGGACCTGCTGCTTTGCCAAACACATAGATTTCTGCCAGAACAGCTGCCCACTTTCTCCTGTGGCTCAGAGACTGGTGACACAGTGACACAGGCTGATCCCCTCTGCCTTGGGGACGAATGCCTGTGGTGGATGAGGCTGAACTCCTCTCATCCCAAACCTGCCCTGCAAGGACTAACCAAATTCTTTGGAGGAAAGCTGACTGCTGACTGAGCAGCACCATGCCCCAAAATACAAGCACATACAGATCCCTTGGGAAACTCAATCCTAAGCCTGGAGGCAGGAAAGGCTGCAGCCTCCTCTACGTGCAAGCAAGCTCCCAGCTCCCCAGGGCTGTGGGTTCTGACGCCGTCCTGTGCTGAGCCAATACAATGCACAACAACCTCCACCTTTCCCACCAGCCAGACTGGTCCCTAGTGCCTGATCTCCCTTCCTCAGTGCCATTTACCTTCAAAACTGTGCTGGGTAGGGAGAAGACAGTCGTCCTCTTGCCCTTTAGCTGTATAAACACTAGCTGCTCTTGCTGGCACACCCAAAAACACCCTGCACCGTACCAAAGCATCAGCAGAGTTTATTCAGACACGGAGACAAGCTCAGCACCCACTTGCTCTTTTCCAAACAACTATTTACTGCCTTGGGAAACTGGTTTTGACAGCAAGAGAGATGTCAGGCAGACATATAAATGGAGCTGAGAATAGCTTCCTTGTTATGACTGCTCCAGATGGCACAGGGGATCCGGCAGCAAAACCCTGCCCTGAGCATGGGTGCTGCATGAAGCTCCTGTGGGGCTGGTCCTGCAGGAGCCAGGAACCTCCTGGGTCTCTTCCCTGAAAGCTGAGATCACTCAAACTCCAGACATGGGGTAAGTGAGGTGTAGCGGGGTTGGCTCCCCTCTGTGTTGATGCCCGCAGCTGGCGCCCACCGGACCCGGTGGCTCTTTGCACGGGTAGCTGGAACAAAAGATTCCTCCCAAAAGGGGCTGGGGTGGTTTGCCTACCTGAACAGGCTCTCAAGTGTTAATTGGATGTGTTTCTCCTAATTGCAGCCTGCTCCAGCCTGGCAGTGCCCATTCTCCTTCCAGACACAGAGAGAGGTCTTGGCACGGAGCAGCAACATGGACCAAGCTACAGCTAGAGGGGGGTATGGATGGAGCGCAGTCTCTGGCTCTTTGCAGGCTTTTTAAATGAGCTGAAACCACTACAGAAGGAAGGAAGGAAGAAAGAAAGGAAAAAAACGGTTCCCTGAAACACAACAAACCCTACCAGCTTTTTTACCAGGCTCTGAGTGCTGTCTCACTGCAGTTTGGCCAATGCTCTTGACAGAGCAGAGGTTTTTTCCACCTCCTGCCAGCCCCAGCTCATGGGGGATAAGCTGGGGAAGGTGGCAGCTGCAGGTGGATTTGCACAAGCCAAAAGCATCCCAGTGTGGTACCCTGACAATCTGGTTTGCCCTTTGCAGGTTACTTAAACCCCTCCCCAGGATTTGCAGAGAGAATAGGTCAAAGCTCTGTCCATGAAGAGCTTTGCCTGCCAGAGCATCACTGCCGTAAGATGCCACATGGTGCCCAGCAGGTCCCAGCCTGGCCGGGCTGGAGCCAAGCACACCTCAACAGCCCCGAAACGGTGGTGGGTCGTGCTCGGGCCAGAGAGGGGCCGTGTCCCTCTGCCCTCCTGGTCCTGCTTTGACAGAGGCTACGGCAAATCATGCTCTGCAGTGAAGAACATCTCCACGACCCCTCTCAGACTGCCAGAATCCTGGAGAGTTTCCACTGAGCATTCAGGTGCATGGGAAAGAAAAGGAATCTGCTTTTCTAGAAGCAGTCGCTTTGCACAGGGGTCCCAGTCAGCCCAGGGAGTTGCTCCCATGGGGATGATGGTTCTGCTGGGAGCTGCACGGGCCCCGTGAGGCCCCACACTGGCAGCAGCTTCTCCTCTATCAGAAGCCACCAATGGCTCCGCTGTCGTTGCTTCGGCATCTGCCCAGCTCCCTTCTAGGCTCTGCTGATATCTCCGTTTTACACATGGGGAGGCATCGCAGCAGACGCCGATGGTGCTGGGTTAACCTTGGACCTCACGGAGCAGCCAGCTCCTTCCTTTCACCCCCACATTTCCTGGAGTGGGATCAGCCAGCCCCCACCAAGCCTCGCTGCACGGCTCAGACACCAAAACCTGACGCTGCTCAGTGTTTACTGCATCCCACACACGGCAAACACCGGCTGCAGTCAGTGTCCCACCACCCACCAAGCCATGGCTGGCCCAGAAGGGAAACTGAGGCACTGAATAGCACTTGCCTAAGGCAGTGCTACACTGCATGGGGCAGGTTGCTCCTACGTGGACCCACTAGCCGTGTCCTGATGCAATGCCACTGGGATTTTTGGAGCAAATCCCTGTGTCCATGAGAGGCACAGGGTGGCAGGTCCCCTGGGCCAGGAGATGCAGCACAGCGGGCTGAGACAGTGTCAGCTATTCAGCACGAGGGGGCTGGGGGTCTCGCTGCAAAGTCACACACACACACAGCCTCAGTCTCTGTGACCTGCCACTGACCTAGCAGCAAACTTCAATTAATATCAATTAGGAATTAATGTCCCCCCGCAGTGCTTTCCCTCTCCAAAGCAATTCATGGATATTAATTAATATATTCACATCCGAGTCAAACATCAATCCCCTGCACCGTACTACCCAGAGACAGGCTTGTCCCCCCTTGATAACTTCTTGCCTCAAACAAGATCGGATCTGTGTGGCAGGAAGGGCTGACAGCTCCGAGCAGAGAGATAGATGGCTCATAGTCTAATCAGCAATCTGAGATGGGGCTTGGGTTTTCCACTGCTGACAGGGCTGTAATTGGAGAGCAGCAGGATGAGCAGGATGAAGCAGTGTGAGCCAGTGGCTTTGCAAAGCTGGAGAGGTCAGCGGGACTGCTGGGTGGTGATGGCCACTGAGACCTTCCTGGGAGGGGGGTTGACCAGCCCCCCTGGAGTCACCCGTGCTGTGGGGACTTTGCTCACCCATCAGTGCTGCTCCCCGGCTTGGCCGAGCTTGCTGCCCCCTGCAACACTTGGTGTGGAAGATGAAAGACCTCCTGGGACACACAGGCAGGGGAAGGGCTGAGCGTGGTCTCTGCCCTGGCCCTTCGCTGAGGTTCCCCGTGGTGTTAGGCTGGGATCAAGCCTGCTCTTGGCCTTGAGTCTGCAGAAAAAGGTGCCAGACTTTGGGAGTTAAATACAGTGAATGTTAAAAGAGCTGGATGCCAACCTTGGCTGGCAGAGCAACATCAGCGGTGTGCAAAGGGAGGGCACGGAGCAGCACGTCTTGCCAACCCCAGAGCCATAGGCTGGAGGTGGCTTTGGAAAGCCTGACCAAGAGAGCTGCCCCCTCAGATGTGTTTGGAGGTGGCCAGGGTGCCTCCAGCCCCTGCTGCCCAGCCCTCCCAATCCCCTGCCTTCACTCCACCGGGGGGGATCCCTTTGCCCTTGTCTCCTCTGACCCCCAGGCACTGTCTCCTGCAGCTGGTGAGCTTCTTACCACCTCCACCTCGAGGGCTTTTGCTCGGGTAAGTCTCATCCCCAGTCCAAGCCACGAATGAAACCTTCCGAGGGTATCTGGCCTCTACAACCCCCCTCTGCTGACAGTGTCCTGCTTTGCCCCTCCCTGAGCTCAAGATTTCTCTGAGACCCCCCGCTGTACTAACAAGTGCCCCGCTGCTCCTTCACTTGCTTTCGTGCAAAGCCACATCAGAAGCCCTGCTAGTGTCACGGCATCGAGGCAAAGCGCAGGCAGCAGAACGAAGCTCAAAGTGAGAACCGCGGGGGGATTTTCTGTGGCTGATGTTACTCAAGGGGAAAGAGCAGGCAGTGAGAACGCTTCCATCTGGCATTAAAATCTGTGAATTTATGAATTTAGCTGTATTAGAGGGCCAGTCCCTGTTGTGTGTAGACAGGGGCTTTGGTGAGAGTATTTATTCTGTTTGGAGTCTCTCTGAGCATACTGGATGCAGATCCTAACAAAAGAATATCAATCAGGGCTAAATGAAAGCCCTGTAAAACCTGACTTATAAGCAATTAAAGGTTTTTCTGGATTAAGCTCTGGTCTCTCTCGCTTGCCATAAATAATTCTGGCTTCATTTATCTGTCAAAAGGGGCACGGACTTTTGGGGACAGGTAAAAAAAGAATAATGGCATTCGAATATTGGAAGCTAAAGGCACAAACAAGCTTGGGAAGGGGACACTGTGAATCAAAGCGTCTCCTATGGCATCCGGATTTGCCAGAGCAAAGGCTTCTAAAGAAAAGTTGGAGCAGTGGACACAAGCACAGGGGAGGGCTGTTTTTCTAAGGTGGTTGTATTAAGCTCTCCTGCAGATTGTACGTGGGACCTGTGTGCATTCACAAATATTTTAATGTTGGTATTGGAGATTTGTTTTCCACAGCTGTCTCCCAAGACCCACATCTCAGCTGCCCCAAGCCCCCTCCTTCACCCATCACCTTTTTAGGGTCATAACCCTGGCCTGAACATCCACCATTTAATTCACCTATAAATTCCCTCCAGTTTATCTGCATTCACAGCTAGGGAAAGCTTGGCCAAAGTAAAGCTGCATCTGCCATTGCCTTTCTAGGGTGAATAGTACAGGATTTCAGGGTGGAAGAGGGACAATGAACTGCAAAAGCCAACACCCTTTGCCCTCTGCCATCTGAAGGGGGGCGATCACTTCTGGGTGGGTGACTCACTGATAAAGCAGGTCACTCTGCAGAGAGGAGGGTCTCTTCTATTAGCTCAAAATACAGTTTGGGAAAAAAGGAAAAACAACAGATGGGCCTCTGGGTATGTTATACCACCTTCAGAAAGAGCTACCTGCTCATGTGGGACAGCTCTCAAGCACTGGACAAGGGCTGTTTGTTGAGGGAACCCCATGCTAATGATCTGTGCTTTCCTTTGGGGCCAAATACTGTTCTCCAAGGTAAAAACACAGATGCAGCCTCTCTAAATGCTGCAGACTCGGACCTCAGCTTGAGCTCCTCACTCACACCAAACTTCTGGGCCAGCCCTATGCAGGATTTCTGGTGAGCAGAGCTGTATTTTGGGGCAGCGTCGAGCCGGCTGTGCAGGCTATTCTCATTGTATTTCTATATACTCATCCTATGGCAATAGAGCAGCTATTCTGGGAACAGGCTGTGCCATTTCCATTCACTTCTTCACTGGAGATGCGAAACCACGGGGATGATTTCATACACACTGAATCAACTCCAGCTTTTAAGGAAAGCAGGGACTGGAAGAGATCCCCAGGGTCAGTGTGTTCTGCTACTGCAGCTCTGTGTCTTATGCAAGATTTGGAGCAGCAAAGGTGTAGGGGTCTAGTTTTTGGACCTATTGCTGGAGCTGATCAAGGGAGAAGGGAATCTACCCCACCCCCAGCATCAAACTGTTTTTTTCATACAATGCCTATGCAAACAGTTTTATCAGCCCTAGAAATGTCATCAGTTCCTGACAAAGCTGCAGGTGAACTGTTTCTTTTTAAACACTTGTTTATTTTGTTTAAATGTCTTGCAGAGTGCCAGAAAGCATTTTGCAGCAAGTTTGGCTGTCTGTCTCCTGGTCTGTCTGTCCAACCCCCTGAGGGATGTCCACCAGCAAGACAAGGTGGACAAATTGATGCTAAACTGGAGCTGCTGGCCAGATGCATGGCGAACACCTTAGGTGTGCAGCCCAGGGATTTTCAATTTGTCCAAGCAGGGGAGATTTGCTCCCGCCGAGCTCTCCGTTGGAGCCGGACTGCTGCAGGTCTCTGCTCTCACAGGCTGGATGCTGCTGTGAGTACGCCTGGCTGCAGGAACACACTCGCTTAAGGCTGGACTTTCAAGGTCCTTTAGCTCATGCTGTCCCCCGGAGAGGGCTGGAATTCTGCTGGAAAATGGTCTGAATTTTGAACGCATACATTTATAAGGAAAAATAGTTTGACTGGAAAGGGGTGTTTTGTAGATTGGGTGGGGTTTTTTTGGAGCTAGCTGGGAGACACTTGTCTGCTTGGGCTGGTTTTTGTGACCCCCTCCTAGTCCCAGCCACAGTGCAAGGGTGGTTTTGCTCCAAAACTCTGGAAGCTTTTTGAGAATTTGTCCCCCTGTCTTCACAAGGAGACAATCCCTGGGGAACACCTAGGGATGGCTCGGGAAATCCCTGAGCCTGAGGAGGTTTAGCAGAGGATGGGACCTGAGTCTCAGCTCTTACAGGCTTTTTTTTCTGACCACTTTTTGCTCACGCAGTAGCTGTCGGGAGCTGTCATGTTCACTTGGCTGTCCCTATCTCAGACCCTGCTCCTATTGCACTGGGTCTGTGGCTTTGCCAATGGTGTCCCCACATACTGGCCAAGGAGGACGTGGGCTGGGGGGAAGAGATCCTACCCTGTCTCAACTTCACTTCTTACATCAGAACCAAACAAAACCTAAACTGAGGAATATAATCATGAAAGAGCGCTTATAAAACAGGATTAGGGGTGTGCAGTTATAAGAGAAAGCAGCTGGAAGAGGAGCTTTTAAAAGCACCACCAACTTGGCAAGGAGGTTGCCTGGTGCATATCAACTCTTCTCATCACTTAGGTGAGAACTTTCCTATCCCAAAGGTGCAGCTAAATCCTCCTCCCTGCTCCTACTGCCTGCGATGCTCAGTGAGAAACCAGCCGCGGGGTACGAACTGAGGGTGCTAACGGGGAGGGCTGACCCTCCACTTCTGCCGTTTTAACTCAGCAGTCACAACTGGGCCACTGAGGCAGCATTTTGCAGACAGCCAGGCAAATTTTTTTCTTTTAACCCTCTTTGACACAGAGGTTTAATCAAGAACCTGATAATTTTGTTTAACTGCCTGCATAGGTTTGTTCAAATAATGTTCAAGATTTCACTGGAAACCTTTTCATTTTCTCATTTCCCCAGGGTTTGGGATTTAAACATGCTCTGGGCTGGAAGCATTTCCTTTCTTGATGAGCCCTCGGGGAAGAGGAGTATTGCTTCTGACAAAGCATTTGCATTTTGTGCAGAGCTGCAAAATTAGCAGTGGCTACAGTTCCACAGCAAGCAATTTAGAGAGAAAAGTCTTGTGCTTTGGGGGTGGGGGGGAAAGGAGAGGTTTCTTTAGAAAATCAATTAAGGGGGGGTACAATTAGGCATTGCATTTGTGTTGTCCCCATCCATCACACCCCCAGAGTGGCCACCCCCTCACAGCAGCCTGAGGGAAACTGGTGGCAGCTGGTTTCACTGGGAGGTGTGAGTCAGGGAGCTTCTGGGAGAGCTGGACTGCGTTCGGGGGGACCTGGCTGCAAGTCTACCCCCCCTTTAATGATCCTTTCACTGACTCCAGCCCCCTCCCCACTAGTTTTTGGGCATTGTGAGCTCTTGCCAAGCCCCGGTGCCTCAACTGGAGGAATCCTCCCGAGGGCCCTTTGTGTAGAGGTTTCTCCTTTTACTTTTCCCTTCCTTCAAAGAAATGGAAAAGTCATTGTGGGGAAAGCGAGTGGTGCAGGGTGCAGAGGGGTGATGGGGAGGAAGGCAGAAGGGCCCTTCTGGGAGAAGAGGACTTAAAAGCATCTTACCTGCAGGAGGAGGAGGAGAGCAGGACGTAGGCTGGGCACCATCCTTAACTCCCACTGCGCCCAGCTCTCCGGGGCATGGCTGGCAGCGGTCCCCACTCCCGCTGGGCTCCTTCTGCCGTCGGGGACAAAATCCTCTGGGCTTCGTGCAAAGGAGCGTGTCCGGGTCCCGGCGGGGCTGCAGGGAGGCGGGCAGGGACCTCTCGCCCTCCCCTTTGCTCAGCGACCCGCTCCTGCCTTTTATAACCTCCCTCGGAGCCGGTCCTCCGGCTTCTCACCTTCCAGCTCCTGGAGATGGGCTACATCCCTCCTCACCAGCCTCCCACTCCCTGCTTCTCTCCCTCCTCCTCTTCCTCCTCCCCTTTTCCTTCCTCCACCTCCCTAGTGCCTTCCAATTCTATTTTTTTTTTTTTTTTTCCCCTCCCTTTCTCCTTCCCTGCCTCAGCATCTTTAGCAGCAGAAACGTCCCACCAGCCCAGGGACCCCCACCTGCCCCCCCCCCCCCCCCCGCCCCGCCTGGCACCCCCTGGACCAGGCTCTCCCCTCTCTGCCCCCCGCTTTCCCATTTTGCAGCCGCTGCTGCGGGCTCTCCTGCGGAGGCTGTGGGCTCCCGTGTGTGTCCGCAAAGGGCTCGGGGCTGCAATTTGAGGGGAGGGTTTATGTATTTGGGGATTTGACTCCAGGGCTCTGGCAGAGGGACTGGGGGAAGGGGAGGCTTCCCCTCCTGCCACCACCCTTTGCAGCCCCTTTCCAAACTGGTTGGTGAACGTGGAGGGAGGTGAGAGCCCCTTTCCCCTTCCTGTAGGGATGGGGTGGAAAGGACTTCAGATCTTCCTTGTGAGGGGGGATGCTCCTGAGAGGAGGGGACGTGGGGCAGGTTGATGTAGGTCTTTCCGTGCAGTGGGGCTGTACTGGGAGCACTTGATCATAGTGGGGGGAAACCGAGTCACGGAGGAGGTGGGGGGTGCTGCTGGGAGGGTGTTTTTTCTCGTAGGATGGGCGGTGGAAGGGGCAGAGGTGATCGGGGAGGAGCAGGGGGGCTTGGACTGACAGAGGAGAGGGGCACTGGTCTGGGGGACACGCGTCCTGGGGAGGGTGGGAAGCAGGAGTGGGTGGTGCAGTGGAGCCTGGATGATGCTTCTGGAGTCTTGGATAATGACACCCTCCACCTCTCTGTCTCACGTCCTGCTGTCCCCTGGCAGCCACCCCCAGGGCTCCTGGGAGGGGTACCCCATATCCCCTGTCTCCTGGGGATGCTCTGGCCAGACTTGAGTCCATCTCTGAGATGGGTGAGTCTACCTCTGGGTGAAACCTGCTGCTTGTTCCAAGGCAGGTTCAGGGCATCCCTTCTGCACCCACCTGGGGTTTAGGGGGGTCCTCCCAGCTGTGGCTGCTGTGCCCTCCTTGGGGAGCAATCCAGGCCCCACCTGCCCGTGGTGACCTGGCAGCAGAAAGCCAGGCAGCAAGTTATGGTTTCTTCTTTCCTTGAGGAAATAAGGAGAGTCAAGGCATGCTGCTGGGAAGGGGACGGTGGAAGACATTGCCATTGGGGTCACCATCCTGGTGGGACCAAAGATATTTCCACTACCTGATGCTGGTGCATCCACCGACAGCCTCTCATGGGGTGCTGGACCATGCTCCCCTCTTCATCCCACCCACAGCCTCTGCCTCTCGGAACGGCTGCAGACCATGGCATATTGCAGACAGATCAATAGGAGGGCAGTGTCCCTTGATGGATTCATGGCTGAAGCCTCCATCCATCTTCACTGAGCCGGTTTCTGTCTCTGAAGCATGGGAGAGGGCAGGAGGTAATGAAGGTCCTTCCTGCATCTGCTGGACCAAGGCACAAGTGGCTGCCCAGGGTTGTACCCCAGCATGTGAGTTCAACTAATGACCCATCCCACACCCCAAAGGGTAAGTGTTCCTGGCCCAGTAACTAAAGGGAATAAACAACACAGACATAAGTCTTCTGACATTAGCATGATTTAATCAACTGTGTCATTGCTTTGGTAAAGAAGTTTGAAAGTATGTAAAGCACTGGTAAATTCAGGAAATTCTTTGTTTCTTAGATCTCCTAACATCCCTACCCCTGACAAGAGACACACTCTGGAGCCACTTCTGTATCACCTTTCACTTTAATAAGCCCAATTGAAAATGCAGAATTTTCTCAAAGAGGCTTGGGAAAGCTCCTGCACCGTCAGGCAGTCTGGATTCAGCCTGTTCACTGAGTGCATCGTGGGTCTAGGACGCAGCTCCATGCTCTGGTTTTGGGGGCTCAGGGCTTTGTGCACCCCAGGGCACAGGAGGGACATTGCCGTGGGGAGCACTGGAGACCCCATTTCCATACCAAGGCCCTGGGGATTGTCCTTATCCATCTCAGCCTGCCCACAGCCACTGAGTGAACACGTGCAGTGGCCACGCTCAGGTGCCCAAAGTGTGAGGTGATGGGAGGAAAGCAAAAGTGAACATCAACTGTTTTCAGTCAAGGAACTGGTTGCCAGGGACATGAAGATAATTCCTTCCCCATATATCAGGGAAATGGCTGCAGTGCTATTTGAAAGGCCTAATTGAGGGGATTTATAGTAAAATGCAACTTGTCAGATGTGGCAAAGGAAAAATAAAACAGTCCCTGAGACAAGGAAATCAGTCCATTCGTCATGGTTAATCTCAAACTCCCCGGTGCAGTGCAGAGACAAACGTGGGAGAAGGGTATTAGGGATGGGGAGAATGAAGAGAAATATCGGATCTCCAGGAAGGAGGGAGAGGGGTGATTTAGCCTGACTTAATCTGCCTTCAGTATATTAATATTATTATTATTTTATGTAACTGCATATGGTTTGACACTCCTGTTTCTGAGCAGCTCCACGGCTGCTGTGTGGGGCTGTTTGTGTGACTTACACCACTGCACTGCTCCTACATTGTCCCCTGGAGCCATCCCCTCCCTTTGTTTGGGAAAAACGTGCAACTCCAAATGTCCATCCTGAACAACGGGCATGAGACTGGAACTTGTCCCTGAACTGGGGGAACACGGTACCTGTGTCCTTACTTCCCGCATGGGGCATTGGTAGCAGTGTGGGCCACGGGGTTTTGCTTCCAATTGGAACATCTGCGGGAAAAAAAAATTAATCCTCGGTGTTATGGACATATAGATCAGGTTGATGGAAGATTGGGGCTTGTCTTCTCAGCTGAAAACACAGCTGAGATCATCAATGTGCCTCAGTTTCCCCACCAGCGTGTCGGGATTGTTTCTTTACTGCATAAATCGAGTGAAGCTGAGGATGCTGGTCAGAGCGGTTCTTGGTGGAGCAAGGATTATCAGCACGTGGAGCTGCATTAGCAACTGCAGGCTGAGAAGAAAACCCAACCCAACACATCGTGTTTCTCCCAGGGGACTTGCTTTTTGCCTTGGTTTTAAAATCTAGTTTCAGGCTTTTTATCCCATGTCTGAACCTTTTTCCTTCTCCTAGACCTGCGGTGAGGGGAAAAACGTGCTCTCAAATTCTGCTTGATGAAAGAAAGTGGTTGTTGGGATCAGGTTTCCCTCATTCCAAGTCATCACATCATATAATCATGCCCCAAATTCGCGTAGCTTTGTTGTATTTGACTGCTCTGTATAGCCTGCCTCATCCCTGTGAGCCTTATGGCTGCTCTGAAAGGAAGAGCAGGAAATCTTAAACCACAGACCCGCTGAATACGTTGCAGGGAGGGAAGTCAAAGGCTTGTTACTCAATCAACAACTTCCTTTAACGGTTATTACCTTAGCGCTGTGCTGGCAGAAAAGTTTCTTGGTCCTAAAGACCTTGCGAAAGGCTTGGGTGGCCTCTGGACGCTTCAGACCCCTGTTCATCCCATCAAACTGCTGGAGATGCAGAAGCTGTCCATGCAGTCATGCAGGGAGAGAAACCAGTGTCCTCCTGGGAGAAGGAAGACCCAACTAAAACATGCATTGGGCTGGGTTTTGCTCTCATTGCTCCATGCAGCAAATGACTGATTCCTTTTGTACACAGATAATTCCCTCCCACCTTTTCTTCTCCCCTCCCCCAGATTGTGTGCATCAATAGGAGATACCATGTTAACAAAAACACTGAGACTGCAAATTAAAACAAGCAAACTCAAAGAAGCTGGGAAACCCACAAAGATCTGGGATATAACTGAACATGTCATGTGATTTCTAAGTTTCTTAAAATAGCCTGTCATATTTTTCAAATTTCTTTTGGGAGGAAGTGTCAATTTTGAATAGAACAGAAACACAAAAGCTTTTGTTTTACATCTAATTAAACCTCAAGGCAGAATGCTAAACTAATCATAATAATAGTCATAATTATTATTTTTCTCAATCAAAATGCTTTTAGCTAAGTTAACCAGAATTTGCCAGTCAGCAGGCTGGCATTTCTTATCAAACAAAACGCCGCAGTTTGTGGTTGGGAAAAACTCCACGTTTTGATTCTGGAGACTGATCCCATCAATCCATCAGCCGAAAGCGCTCTGCTTTCATGCACCGTGTGACAGAGACACGCACGACCCTGCCAGCACGGAGCCATCCTGTTCATGGCTGTGTCTGCATTAGCAGCACGGGGATCCATCCTCCCTTGCAAGGTGCCGTTGCATCGTACACGACGCTGTCACGTGGATGTCCATGAGCGGCATGGGTGTACATGATGCTGTTGCACGGATGGTGGCCGGTGCAGCTGTGCTGATGCGGGGACTTCCCGTGCCTCCGGGGATCTGCCAGTGTATGGCCACATCCAGGGTGTTGCACATACTGCAACAGATACACCCTTCCTTCGGGCATGACCACACAACATCATGGGCATGGACATGTCATGGGCGATGGAAATGTCCTGCAGAGATCATGGCCAGGATTGTGACTTTCTCAGAAATGGCTTGTGGCAAAAATCCCTCCCTGCTCATCAGGTCTGTAAATGCCAGTCAAGGCAGGAGAAATTCTGGATGTCTTTCAAATCTGGTTATTTATTCCCTGTACATTTGATGAAATATTAATCTCCTCATCTCCAAAGGCAATCAAATAAAACCCAGAAGGAATGACGCAGATGGCCTCAATGCAGAGAGCAGAAAGCAGCAAAATAAAAATAAAATAAAAGTCTAAACATAATGTAAAATTCTATAAAAGGCATCTCTGTGGTGTCACGAAGGGCAGAGACAAAGTGACCTGGTGCCCTTGGGGTTGGCGGGCTTGGGAGGCCAAAAAAGACCATGATGGGAAGGGTGTGAAGAGGACACGGATCAGGCAATTGCTTGGGCAGGTCTTAAGCTTTCCTGTAAGGGCTGTTGATGGGATTTCTTTGAAGGTTTTCCCTTC